CCCAAAACCCCAAAACCCCAAAACCCCAAAACCCCAAAACCCCAAAACCCCTTGGGTGGTAAACTAAGTTGAAAATATATTAAAGACTCAGGTCTTTGGGAAACAAGAGCTTCTCTGTCTTTTCACGGATCTTCTTGAAATCAGAATCCTTGTCAATGGGAAAATGGAGAGAGAAAAGATCATGAAAATTAGGCTCCCGAATCGTGCTCTTTGCTATTTTGATAAGAGATAGAGCTTACTATTACGATAGCTACTGTTAGGACTCAATGGATGTATCTTCTGATTCTTAGTGTTTAACCTGTGAGCTTGGTTAAGCTTGCGTCCTTTAAATGAATTAGGACTGGTAATTCTTGAACTATCACTATTCTGAAACGGAACTCACAGCATTTTCTCTATATAAATTTATTAGATTATATCGAATAAGTCACATCCAGCCTTCTACATACCTCATATATTAATCTCAGGCTTTTTGAGCCTCAAAACCTTCCTTTGTTCTTTAACATTTGTATTTAATGTCTTAGTAACCGCATCTTGCTTATATTTACAAGTTCAAAAATCTGGATCGACTCATTCACACCGACTCTTAGGCTTGGCTTTCTCGCTATCCTTTTGATCGCAGGCCGCTTCTAGATTCCCTGAGCCTACCTATTAACCCTTTTCAGGCTTACTAAGAGGAGAGTGGTTTATTGTGACCACGAAAGGTTGGATTCCTGCATAATTCATGTAAAATTTGTTTTCCTTGCTCCTAAAATTGGTCATGATTGGTTCATACTCTTCAATCACTTTCCCACCAGGAGAGGATCAAATAATATCAAGGTCTTTATTCAAACGACTTTCCTTAGACTGCTTGGGTTCGTTATTCTCGATATTAATCTTCATTGATTCTGACTGCCGTAAAATCTCCTTTCTTAAGTCAATGCCCGAGGAATTAGCTGAAACTTTCAAATTGGACGGCTTCTCGTGTGACTGTTTGTTATAAATTGTTTGGAATTCTTGCTCATTACTCTCTTGGATGCTTCATCAGAAATCTTCAGTGGGCTCTTGAGTTTCACCAAACGAAGCTGGTTTGCTTCCTTGTAGCTTTTCAATAACATTATGCTTTTTGATTTTAACATCAATAAAGTTTTTGAAGTTATCTAAACAGAACTCAATGTCCTTCTTTTCGTAAAACTTTGGAATGTTTAGAACAGTTTTATTTAATCTCTCTTTTTGGTTTCAGCATGAGTGCAGGACTATTTAGCATTATTCTTGATGATCTTAGATGCTCTAGAAGGTTGGAGGCCAGTACTTACTCTTGAGCAGCAGGTTTTGGGGAGAAATCATGCCTAAGGTTCTTACCTCTGACAGCAAATAACCCATCATCAATATGAACTTTCTTAACAACAGCTGGCTTTTTCCAATATTTTATATCTTCAGTTTATTACGAGGCTTTTTCTTATAGAAATGATTTTTCCTAGAAGGTATTGGACCAATAAGAGAATTTGAATCTCTTAGTTCATCGATACTTTTGGTCTTAATGATCTTTTTCATCCAATCAGGATCTTTCTTGGCCTAAAATTATGACTAAAATTACAGTATTTGAAATAGAATTCATCTTAGAGTTATACTGAGTTTTATACCAGGCACTTCTGTTTTTATTCCCCAAGTTATTAGTGATGTAGTTAAACTTATTCAATTTGGTCTTACTCTCAAGAGGATTGATGCCACAAACCTTCTTTAAAATCCTGGTTTGGAGATGCCGAGACTTCCTTGAAACTTGTAGGGAAGTAAACCTTTCCTATTTACTGAGATAAAGGTAGTTACTTTGACTGGTTTAATTTCATTCATCATTGATAAATATTTCATAAATTCAGTAGGTCTATTCCGACTTTTCTGTGGTGAACTTTCTCTGCTTCTGACTTCTCTTGGCAATGACGGTCAGAATATGGGCGACGAGGGCTTAACAGGCTAATATTTTAGTAAATATTGAAGGAAAAAGTTCTGAATGGGAATATTTTAACGCTTACTTCAACGAAATTCTTAGGAAACTTGATATCTTTGTTGATATTTTTAACATTTGTTATTCTTTGTGGGCTTTGTTCGAGAGTATAACTGCTACGAAGAGTCTGGAAATCAAAATTGTGCTTATCCTTCAATGTAAGCTCATCTAAAATAACTGGGTGTGAGGCGTTTTCTTTCATTAAAATAATTCAATAAATCCTCTTCAGCAAGGGGTTTTGGGGTTTTGGGGTTTTGGGG